AAATCGATCGTGAGGAAGTCGAGGGCGCGGCGTCTGAAAAAATCGCGAGGAAATCCCACGCGAGAGCGCGATTCCTGAAAAAATTGTGAGGAAGTCCCGCGCGAGAGCGCGAGATGGGAATAAAATGTGAAGTAGGATCAGGAGGGAGCCGTTGTTGTTGCACGGGGCCCAACAACGCAGCTTGAGGAGGAAAACTGTCCCTGATAAGAAATAAGGGGGGCGAGCACCCAGAAGGGCAAATTGATTGAAAAAACACCCATGCTACCGGATGGGGGATCAACCAAAATTATTATTCGGTAATGAGAGTTCGACTACTACTACTACTACTACTACTACTACTACTACTACTACTACTACTACTACTACTACTACTACTACTACTACTACTACTACTACTACTACTACTATAATAATAATAATAATAATAATACGACTACGACTACTACGGCTACGACTACGACTACGACTACGACTACTACTACTACTACTACTACGACTACTACTACTACTACTACTACTACTACTACTACAACTTATACTACTACTGCTGCTACTACTACTAGTACTACCACTACTACTACTACTCACTACTACTACGACTACTACTACTACTACTACTACTACTACTACTACTACTACTACTACTACTACTACTACTACTACTACTACAACTACAAGAACAACAAGAACAACAAGAACACAAACAAAAACAAGAACAATAACAAGAACATGCAGAATCCGCGCCGCGGAGTCCCACTTCAGCCACGCACCCAGGGACAGTGAATGACCGTTCGGCCCCCTTCAGTCTGATTTATGCGGTCTTCCCATCCTCGAACAAAAGAAACCTGCCGAGCCCTGGCCCCCCCCCCCGCACCTGGCGAGCTCCGCGCGACGACCCCAGATTTGTTGAGCATGTGCCACTCTCTCGCCCTCGAGCAGAGGAGGCACTGCCGAGACCCGCCCTCCCCCCCCCTTCTTTAGCTGCACATTTGCAATACAGTTGCCCCAAATCTATTGCACCATTACCTTTCAGCTGGACCAACAGTAGGATCACGAAGGCTTGCGCGGCTCCTGCGCCGATAAAGGGTTTTGTTGATGCCGTCCCTCCGGGGGCGGCGAAGAGGAGGCCTCGGAAGGGCGGGGTCAGCGCATCATGGGCCGAGGCAGGGGCGCGGACCGGGAGGACGTCAGGGGTCGTGTTGAAAGAAGGGGGGGGGCATGAGATCTGAGAGATCTGCAGTGGCCCTCTTGGACGCCGCCGGCCTCTCCTGCCCCCCGAGCAGCGGAGAGACCCACCGAGCCCATGGGGCGGAGAGCTCCTCCGACGCGCCCGCCCGGGCGCGCTCGCCGAGGCCTCCGGCACGGCGCCCGCGCGCGCGCGCGCCCGTGCTGCCGCGACGTGCTGCCGGAATAGAAGACAGAACAGCCACCGTCAGAGCAAGCGCCCCGACGAGCAAGACCCTTCAGTGAGCGCGCCCGAGGTAGGAAGCGAACAGGGCAGGGCTGGTCAGCAAACGTCTGGAGCCGTTCGGTGAACCGCCAATGGAGGGGGTCGGGGTGGTTTCTCCCTCCCTTGGCTGAAGTGGGACGCCGAGGGACACTCTAGTACTATGCACCCGCCTTAGAGGCGCACGTCCGAGCCGAACACATGGTAGAAACAGCCGGTGGCAGAGTGCTTCCCGAGCGGCATGGCCAGAAAGCGGCCGCCACGGAGCCTGTACTGTAAGACTTCTCGGCGCGCGCATCGCCACTGGAGGGGCGACGCGCACATAGCATATGGCATGTTGCGGTGACGCCGATGAAGCGGCAGGCGCTGCGACGCCGCGCCGACGCCGACGGCCTCGCCATCATTCCGCAGCACCGGCGCGCGCGGAGGCGTTGCGACGCGCCGCCTCCCGCGCGGCGCGAGCGCACGCGCGTGCGGAGGCGTTGCGACGCGCCGCCTCCCGCGCGGCGCGAGCGCACGCGCGCGTGCTCGTGGTGCCGCGACGTGCCGCCAGAAGCGACAGGAGCCACGACGCCGCGCCGACGCCGATGGCCCTCCACATTCCACATCTACGGAGCCACGATTCTTTCACAGCGTGGGCCCCAAGTGGTCTGGACATTCTCCCTGGGATCGACCTCTCGTCCCGAGCCGTTTTGGGGGGCTGTCCTGGGGCCCTGCACTTGGCCCCCCGAGGCTAAAAATTCCCCCCAAACCCTCCGTCCCGATCCCTGCGAAGCGGGAGAGGAGGTCTGGGATCACCGCGCATTGACGGCGCGCCCCACGGGGTGTCGCGCGAGGGGGCGGCACTGTGAGAAGCCCGAGGAGCCCACCGAGGCGCCCGAGAGGCCTCAGGAGTCCTTCGGAGCCTTCTGAGATGGACCCCGCATCCTAAGCAGCCCGCCGCCTCCTCAGACGGCCGCGCCCCCCCCCGCCGCGTCACGACCGTGGACCCCGCCAAGCATCGCAACCCTGGACGGCCGCCAAGCGTCGACGCCGGCGCCCCCCCCACGAGGCGGCTCCCCAATCACGAGGGGCCCCGGGCGTCCTCTCGGCGCGTGCTCGGCCGATCTTGTCCAGCCTGTCTCTTCTGCAGAGCAGCGGCGCGCGGAGCGGGCCGGGATGCAGCCAGCCCCGGGCACGCTGCGCACGCCGACACTGACCCCGCTCGGGGGGGCGAGTGGTGGAGCAGCACAAACTTCTGCGTCGCAGGCTGAGCAGAGTGTTGCGCTGGCGATGAAGCGTTGGATGAAAAACACACACACACACAAACACACACACACACACACACACACACACACACACACACACAAAAAAAAGAACACACACACAAAACAACAACAAACAAAAAAACTGTGTGTGTTTGTGTGTGTGGTTTTCCCACAGTGTTTTTTCCAATCCAGCGCGAGTTCGGCCACCATGCAGAGAGGGGTAGAAGGAGCCCAGCGCCGGGGGGAGGGAGAGGGAAGCCGGGCCCGCGGAGCAACACTGACAGAAGCACAAACTTTCGGAGGTCCGCGCGGATTTCTTGGATCGGCGCTGGACCCCCCTCCTTGGTGCGCGGAGCGCGCCAAAAGCGGCCGCAAATCCAGGAAGTCCGCGCGGACCTCCGATAATTGATGCTTGTGTCACACGCCGTTCTCCTTCTTGGAGCAAGGGGCCCTGTTGGAAACGAGTCCTGGATCCTGAGGTTATTCCCAGAACCAGCTTCTCGTCCCGAGTCACTTCTTGGCGGTCACTGGAGCCTTGGGCAAGGACGGTGGAAGACGAGGAAACAAACCAAAAAAAGCTCGAGCACGTGTTGCCTTTAATTTTCCTCCACGGCCCCTCTCGGAAAGAGCGGAATGGCAAAAAGAGAAGGGGTAGCGCTTCAGCTCACATAGCTGGTTTTCCCTGGCTCCTCCCGGCGCCAGAGGCACTAATGTATCGAGGAAAGCGCCTGGCGACGGTGACGAAACCAGCCGCAACAGTTTTCGCAGCCCCCCTTTCCCGATCTCCCCCCCTTCGTCCGACACGACCCTCTTTGCTTCGTGGCGGCCTGCTTGCCAACAAGCGCACTGCCACCGATGATCGTTCGGCGCAGGAGGCCTCGTGTGGAGCTCTTCAGTACTGTAGAAATGGCGCTGGTATAGGCACCATGCTGAACCAGAAGCCCGACGAAGAGCGAGCAGAGGCAGGCGGGCATCTTCGTGCCCCAGCCGCGACTTGCTCGCGTCAGCTTCCGCCAGCCTTCCGTCGAGCCTCCGCCAGCGGAGCCGCCAGGGCTTGACGTGCACCAGCCTCTGCGAACACTCCGCGAGCCCCAGGCCGACAGGCGGGTGCCAGCCCCGAGGTTTCGATGGCGAGGCCGCCACTGGAGCGCCTCAGGTACGCAGCAGGCACCTCTCCACCACAGCCACGCCTGGCCCTAGGACGATAAACCCTCCTGGCCTCGGCCAGGAGGGCGCGTGCACCATGCCAGAGCACAGGATGGCCCTCTCCAGGCATGGTGGAGGCAGATGGTTGCTCACTGCGTACTTCGCACCAGCTGGAGGGGCGCTGCTCAAAAAGTCATCCCCAGACCTCCCAGACGCCATCCTGACCAGCTGTTCGGGTGCGCCCTACCGCGCCCGCAACCAAAAAAACAAAAAGTGAGCCAGTGTGGACCCCAATCAGTGAGTAATTGCACTGTTGAGCTGAAAGCTATACGGTGCAAGTTATGCGGTGTGAGATATGTGGTCTGCGTGGTGCAAGCTGGTGGAGAAGTTATGTGGTGCAACCTATGGTATGTAAGCTATGTTATGTACGCCATGCAATGTGAGCTGTGCAGTGGAAGAAATGTAGTGTGCGCTAGGTGGTACAAGCTATGCAGTGTAAGCTATGTGGTGTGAGCTATGCAGTGGAAGCTATGTGGTGTGACCTCGGCGGTGTAAGCTATGTGGTGTGGGCTATGTTGTGCAAGATGTGTAAGATATGCTGCTGTGGAAGAGGGAGGAGAGCGGAGAGCAGCCACGGAGCTCCGATGGACCCGCCACGACTCGGTTGCAGCTCGCTGCAGGCGCCGGCGGGGGCGGACAACTCCTGCCCCCCCCCCGCAAGACTGTGACGCTGTATGTCGCTTAAGAGATGTGGTGCGAGCTATGTGAAGTAAGCTGTGATGTGAGCTATGTCGCTTAAGATATGCGGTGTGAGCTATGCGGCGTGAGCTGTGTGAAGTCAGCTGCGGTGTGTGAGCTTTGCGCTGCAAGCTGCGCGGTGCGAGCTCTGCGGCGCAACCCACGCGGCGCCAGCGGAGCGCCCCCGCAACACAGCGACCCCGCGGCGCCCACGCGGCGCCCACGAGGCGCCCACGAGCGGGCACGGGCGCGAGCGCGGCGAAGCCTCGGGGAGCCCACCCGGCACGCGGGGCGACCACGAGGCGCCACGCAGCGCGCACGGGCGCGAACGCGGCGCGGAGCGGGACGGGCAAGCACCCCGAAGTGCAGACACTGCTTGGGGAGATGGGTGTCGCCGCCGCGTCGGGGCGGCGCGAGCACTCCTCGAGCTCCTGCGCCAACCGCTTGTAGCGCTCGTGGCGGGCGCTGACGATGGTGTTGGGCGACTCCTTGTCCTCACAGGCTTGACGACTCTTCTCCGATCGGCATCTGGAGCAGGGCTGGATAAAGCTCTGAAGATCGACGCACTTTGAGGTAAGTCCAGATAGACCCAGGTAAATCTAGAGACAGCCAGATGAGCCTGGAGAATCCGTGGAGGCTCCTGCGCGACTGGAGGGACAGAAGAAATCGCCAAGCCCTTGGAGATACTGGCGCTGTCCTGCAATCACGGCTCCGCCGACAAGAAGAAGCGATGTGAGAGGGAGCGCCAAGAAGCTGAAGAGGGAAGCATAGCTGCTGCTGCTGCAGCAGCTCCTCCTCCTCCTCCTCCTCCTCCCACCTCCTCCCCTCTTCCCTCTCCTCCTCCTCCTCTGCCACCGCCTCCGACCCCCTCCTCCTCGCCGAGGGACGAAGGCCGGAGTCTGCGAAAGCTTGGACCCTCCGGAGGCCTCCGGAGGCCTCCCGAGAGGCCGAGCTCCCAGGGCGCGGCGCGCGGGGGCCGCGCGCCGAGCTCGCGAGCGGCGGGTCCCGAGGGCACCCAGCCGCACGGCGGCCAGGAGAGGCGGGGGGCCACGCGCGAGTGTCCGGGCCTCGCCCGGTGCTGGCCGCCTCAATCTTCTTGCCGTGGTGACATCTATTATTCTTACCCTTGGCACTACGATTCCTGCTTACCCTAAGCATTATGATTATCCTCATCCTCCTCCTCCTCCTCCTCCTCCTCCTCCTCCTCCTCCCCTTCCCCCTCCTGTCCCTCCGCCCCTTCCTCCTCCTCCTACTCCTCCTCCTCCTCATCATCATCATCATCATCATCATCCTCATCAGCAGCATCATCAGCATCATCAGGAGCATCATCATCATCATCATCATCATCATCATCATCATCATCATCATCATCATCATCATCATCATCATCATCATCATCATCATCATCATCATCATCATCATATGTATCATCCTTCTGGTCCTTCCCCTCCTCACCCTCCTCACCCCGTCCTCCTGCCCCCCGACCCCATCATCTTCCTCCCCCCTCCTTTTCTTTCTCCCCCTGACCTCCTCATTTCCCTGTAGCGCACCAAATACCCCTTGAGCCTGTCAGGACCCCCATGGGACCAAAAGAATCCTCCTCATCATCCTCCACTTCTTCCTCCTCCTCCTCCTCCTCCCTGTCCTCCTCCTCCTCCTCCTCCTCATCATCCTCCTCCTCCTGTTCCTCATCATAATATTCTACTGAATGTGATTAGCCTGCTTCATATTCTTACTAAGATCAGTAGTATTATTAGTAGATTCTGAATAGTTTTACTAATACTCTTCTCATTATTCGTAGTCGTCGTCTTGTTCTTCATATAATCTTAATATGATTATTGTCATAATCAGTCGTACTCGTACTATTTTTCTTGTTGTTAACATTGATATGTTTATTATTCCTCCTCCTCCTCATCATCATCATTCTCCTCCTCCGCTTCTTCCTCCTCCTCCTCTTCTTCCTCCTCCTCCTCCTCCTCTCACCTCCTCCCCCTCCTCCTTCCTCCTCTTCCTCCTCCTCCTCCTCCTCCTCCTCCTCCTCCTTCTCTTCCTCCTCCTCCTCCTCCTCCTCCTCCTTGTCCTTCCTCCTCCGCCTCCCTCCTCCTTCCTCCTCCTCTCCTCCTCCTCCTCCTCCTCCTCCTCCTCCTCCTCATCATCATCATCATCCTCCTCCTCCTCCTCCTCTTCCTCCTCCTCCTCCTCGTCTTCCTCGTGGTATTATGATTATGATGTTTATTCGTAGTCTGTTTATTATTAGCGCTGTTAGTATTAATAGTATTAGAATTCTTAGTAATATTAGTATCAGTATTAATATTAGTATGATCATTAGTAGTATTAGTACTAGTTGTAAAAGCATGTATATTAGTATGATTAACATTAGTGTAACTAGTATGATTAACATTAGTGACATTAGTAGTCGTAGCATTATTAGTATTAATATTAGTATTAGCAGTAGTAGTCGTACTATTAGTAGTAGTACTAGTAGTATTATTAGTATGGTTATTAGTAGTAGTATGATTGGTACCAGTAGCAAGAATAGTATGCTTCTTAGTGTTACAAACATTAGCGGATGCATTAGTAGTATTACTCGTACTACCATCATCAGTATTAGTATTAGTAGTATTAGTGTTAGTGTTATTATTGTTATTATTATTATTAATTAGTAGTAATAGCATGTTTGTACGAGTAGTGGTACTGTTATCATTATTAACAAGTATTGTTAGCGTTGTTGGTATTATGAATAAAATGATGTCATGGTCTTAAAAAAATGATTAGCAGCAGTGTTGACAGCAGTGTGATTATTATTATTAGAAGTTTCGGTAACAATAAAAATACCATTGATGGTATTGTAATAGTGTTAGTATGGTTATTATTACGAGTAGCAACTTTATTACTGATAGCATTATTAATTTGATTATTAAAAGTAGCACTAGTATTATGATTAGTAGTAGTAGCACCCTTATTTGTATGATTCGTCTTAGTAGTATTACTACTAGCATTGTTATCGATGTTGTAATTGTTCTTCTTATTCGCATTAGCATTCTTAGTATGGTTATTATGAATTTATGTTTCTTACTATTATTCATGCGTGTTAACGTGCTTAGTATTTATTATTACTGATATTCGGATGTTTCCTCCTCCTCCTCCTCATCTCTTCCTCCTCCTCCTCCTCCTCCTCCTCCTCCTCTTTCCTCCTCCCCCCTCTTCGTCCTCCTACTCCTCCTTTCCGCTTCCTCTTCCTCCTCTCCTCCTCCCCGCCCCTCCTCCTCCTCCTCCTCCGCCTCCCCCTCTTCCCCCTCCTCCTCCCCCTCCTCCTCTTCCTCCTCCTTTTCCTTCTCCTCCTCCTCCTCCTCCTCCTCCTCCTCCTCATCATCATCATCATCATCAGCATCATCATCCTATCCTCTTCCTTCATTTTCTTCCCGACGGCACCAAAGCACGAAAGCCGCAGCGAGGCTCTGAATTAAAAGGCGGAGAAAGAGGACGAGGAGGAGAAGGAGGAGGAACAAAAATGGTACTGCGAGGGTTGGTTCGGTGACGCGCACACCCGTCGCCCATAAAATTACTGCGAGAAATGATTAAGTGCCGCGCACACCCGGGTGACAAGTACCGCCCTCCACTTACCCTTCCTGCCCCTAGCACCAAACTGTCCCTTTCTTCACCCGCCTTCATGGTATTGCAAGAACTGATCAGGTGCGACACCGCGCCGCTTGCCCAATCAAAAAATTACCCTGTGACGTACCCAACCCATTTGTATCATGGGAAACGACGAGTTGGCCGAAATTTGCATGGACAATCAAATTGCAGGATCCGTTGTTTGATATGTAAGCTACTTGGGACACGCGCCTATGGAATGATGCGCAAGAGAATCGTACAAGAACGAGGGGCGACAACTACAGGTTCGAAGAGGACATGGGGGGTCGGGAACGAAGAGCAGGAGAAAGACGTGCGGGAAGCCCACTGTGCTGGGCCCCTCAGCAGGCCTCGAAAGTGGCGACGGTTTCACAGATCGCAGCCCCCCAGGGATGGCGAGGTCTAGTTTGAATCTGCGGTGAGTACCACTGTGCTGGGCCCCACAGCAGCCCTCGAAAGTAACGACAGTTTCACAGATCGCAGCCCCCCAGGGATGGCGAGGTCTAATCTGAGTCTGCGGTGAATACCTTCGAGAGAGCGTGATCCACCGCCGCTTTACTGTGGAAAATTGCCAACCTTTTCCTCCGGAACCCGGGGACGCCCCCCCCCCCTCCGAAAATCCCCCCCCCCCCCTCCCTGCTGGACCCCCCCCCCCCCCTCCCCTGGCCAAACCCCTCCCTCCCCTAGCCCCTTCCCTCTCCCCACCCCCTTCCCCTCGAAAACCCGGGGGGTCACTACGGGGTTCGAAACCCCTCCACCCCCGCCCCCCCTCGTAATCCCAGAGAAAAAACCGAGGGGGTCACTACCGGTTCGAATCCCCCCGCCCCCTCGAAAACCGGAGGGAGGTCACTACCGGTTCCACCCCCCCCCTCCCCACGCACCGCATCACATCCCCCACTGTTGTTCCGAGCACCACTGTCCTCACCACCAGTGTCCCCACTGGTTCCACCACCGTCCCTACTGTCCCCACCAGTGCCCCCACCACTGTCGCACTGTCCCCACTGTCCCCACCACTGTTCCCACCACGGTTCCACTCTCCCCACTGTCTCCACGGCCCCAACCACTGCCCGACTATCCCCACTGTCCCCACTGTCCCACTGACTCCTCCGCTGTCCACTGAGCTGTCCCACTGTTCCACCACTGTCCCCACTGTCCCCACCACTGTCCCCACTGTACCTCTGTCCCATTGTCCCACCGCCGTCCTCGCCACCGCCTTTACCACTGTCCCCACCACCATTGTACCCTCCACTGTCCCACTGTTTCCACCTCATTCCCACTGTCCCCACACCACTGTCCCCACCACCACCGTCCCCACCACTGTCCACTGTCCCCCCTGTTCCCACCATTGTCCCCACCACTGTCCCCACCACTACCGTCCCCACCACTGTCCCACCGTCCCACTGTCCCCACCACTGTCCCGCTGTCCCCTCACCACTGTCCCCACCAACACCGTCCCCACCACTGTCCGCACCCCCACTCGGTTTTCGAGGGGGGGGGGTTCGAACCAGTAGTGACGCCCCCCCCGGTTTTCGAGGGGGGGGGGGGAGGGGTTCGAACCGGTAGTGAACCCCCCCCTTTTCATGATGAACTGGGGGGGGGGGGGGGGGGTAAAGGGTTAGAACCGGTAGTGAGCCCCCCCCGTTTTCCGAGGGGGGGAAGAGGGTGGGGGACTGGAGTTCGAACCAGGTCGTGGACCCACCCCCCGGTTTTCCGCCAGCAGCGGGTAGAACACGCCTCTTTCATACTTCTAGTGCTGGGCCCCTCAGCAGCCCTCGAAAGTGACGACAGTTCACAGATACGCAGCCCCCCCAAAGATGGCTAGGTCTAATCTGATCCTGCGTGAGTACCCAGTGTGCAGCCTGCTGACCCCTCGCAGGCCCTCAAAAAAATGGCGACAGTTTCACAGATCGCAGTCCCCCAGGGATGGCGAGGTCTAATTTGAATCCGCGCGTGGCCCTCACTGTGCTGGGCCCCCCAGCAGGCCTCGAAAATGGCGACAGTTTCGCAGATCGCAGCCCCCCAGGGATGGCGAAGTCTAATTTGAATCTGCCCGTGGCCCTCACTGTGCTGGGCCCCCCAGCAGGCCTCGAAAATGGCGACAGTTTCGCAGATCGCAGCCCCCCAGGGATGGCGATGTCTAATTTGAATCAGCGGCGATTACCCTCACTGTGCTGGGCCCCCCAGCAGGCCTCGAAAATGGCGACAGTTTCGCAGATCGCAGCCCCCCAGGGATGGCGAGGTCTAATTTGAATCCGCGCGTGGCCCTCACTGTGCTGGGCCCCCCAGCAGGCCTCGAAATTGGCGACAGTTTCGCAGATCGCAGCCCCCCAGGGATGGCGAGGTCTAATTTGAATCTGCGGTGAGTACCCACTGTGCTGGGCCCCCCAGCAGGCCTCGAAAGTGGCGACAGTTTCGCAGATCGCAGCCCCCCAGGGATGGCGAGGTCTAATTTGAATCTGCGGTGGGTACCCACTGTGCTGGGCCCCCCAGCAGGCCTCGAAATTGGCGACAGTTTCACAGATCGCAGCCCCCCAGGGATGGCGAGGTTGAATTCTGAATCTGCGTGATTACCCACTGTGCTGGGCCCCCCAGCAGGCCTCGAAAGTGGCGACAATTTCACATATCGCAGCCCCCCAGGGATGGCGAGGTCTAATTTGAGTCCGCGGTGGGTACCCACTGTGCTGGGCCCCCCAGCAGGCCTCGAAAGTGGCGACAGTTTCACAGATCGCAGCCCCCCAGGGATGGCGAGGTCTAATTTGAATCCGCGGTGAGTACCCACTGTGCTGGGCCCCCCAGCAGGCCTCGAAAGTGGCGACAGTTTCACAGATCGCAGCCCCCCAGGGATGGCGAGGTGCAATTTCAATCCGCCGTGTCTACCCACTGTGCTGGCCCCCCAACAGGCCTCGAAAGTGGCGACAGTTTCACAGATCGCAGCCCCCCAAGGATGGCGAGGTGCAATTTAAATCCGCCGTCTGTACCCACTGTGCTGGCCCCCCCAGCAGGCCTCGAAAGTGGCGACAGTTTCACAGATCGCAGCCCCCCAGGGACGGCGAGGTGCAATTTCAATCCGCCGTGTGTACCCACTGTGCTGGGCCCCCCAGCAGGCCTCGAAAGTGGCGACAGTTTCACAGATCGCAGCCCCCCAGGGATGGCGAGGTGCAATTTCAATCCGCCGTGTGTACCCACTGTGCTGGGCCCCCCAGCAGGCCTCGAAAGTGGCGACAGTTTCACAGATCGCAGCCCCCCAGGGATGGCGAGGTGCAATTTCAATCCGCCGTGTGTACCCACTGTGCTGGGCCCCCCAGCAGGCCTCGAAAGTGGCGACAGTTTCACAGATCGCAGCCCCCCAGGGATGGCGAGGTGCAATTTCAATCCGCCGTGTGTACCCACTGTGCTGGGCCCCCCAGCAGGCCTCGAAAGTGGCGACAGTTTCACAGATCGCAGCCCCCCAGGGATGGCGAGGTGCAATTTCAATCCGCCGTGTGTACCCACTGTGCTGGGCCCCCCAGCAGGCCTCGAAAGTGGCGACAGTTTCACAGATCGCAGCCCCCCAGCTGGCACGCAGCGACGAACGAGGCAAAAGGCAAGGGGGAAGAGAGGGGCGGGAAGGAAGAAAGGAGACGCGCGAGCAGTGCTCTATTCAAAACGAGAACCCAACGCAGGAGGGTTGGGAATAACCTAGCAAGGATGTAAGTGAAACGTGAGCTGGCGCCGCAATGGGTACCAGCGCGGCCGCGGCAGTCGAAACACTGGCAGCGGGTAGTTTCGAGCTCCCGTGTTTGCACCATGCCCCCTTGCTCTGCTAACGCCACACCCCTCCGGATCCCCACAGACAGGCGCGACGACTCGAGCGAACGCGCGCCTAGCCAAGGAGGGAGGAGAGGGGAGGCAGAATTGAAGCTAAGAGTTCAAAGGGAAGTAGACGGGAGCGACATCCTCCCTGATAGCAGCGCCGTCGCCTGCAGAAGGCTCCCCGGCCGCCTCCGGCAGCCGAGGTCTGGCAGCTTTGAACAGCTGCACCGTTTTAAAAACGTACAACTCCGAGCTGCAGGGTTTGGGCTGCGCTGCTCGGAGGTCCTCGGCCAAGCCGTCGCTGGCAGCTCCGCGCGGGCTACTGTTTGAGCTGTCCCCGTGGGGGCAGCGCCCCCCGCGCGGGAGGCCGGATAGAGCGTGGCGAAACGAAGGCTGACACACCAAAAGGAACCGGGTGGATTCGGCCACGGTGCCACGAACTCGCACTGATCGGCCAAAACAAAATCCGAGTTACCGCTGGTGTCTTGCCTGCCCAGGGTACGCAGATGGACTGTCTCGGGCAGAAACCAGCTAGAGGGGGCCAGAGGGTCCGAAGGAGTCGCGGGGTGTGCAAAAGTACAGGCCACTCCAAAAATATAACAAGAACACATGAAAGTCTGACTCGATATGTACAGCGCGTTGCCAAGGTCCAGTTGTTTCCACTCAGCCGCGGAGCTCGTGGGGACCTACTCCTCCTCCTCCTCCTCCTCCTCCTCCTCTTCCTCCTCCTCCTCCTCCTCCTGATCCTCCTGGCCCTCCTTACCACTTCAGTATGAATAACTCCTCCATGTCGCATCACCAGACGTGTCCGTAGGCTGGACTGAGCGTTTCGCTTGAAACCCCCTTACATCTTACGATCCAGAAGCTACAGAAATTCCAATAGTTACACGGATGGACGGCTCGTCGCTTTCAAAATTTGGCTCTCGCCTCAGCACCGTGCGCATCGTCCTGAAAGCTTCCAAAACTTACACGAATGGAGGGCCTGTCCCTTTCAACATGTGGTTCTCGCCTTAGCACCGCGCACATTCGTCATAAAAGCTCGCAGCAGCTACACAGATGGGAGGCTGATCGTTTTCAAAATGAGGCTTTCGCCTAAGCGCCGCGCACATTCATCTTGAAAGCTTCCAACCGTTACACGGATAGAGGCCGACACCTTTTCGATCTGGGGCTCTCCCCCGAGATTTCCTCAAGACTGGAAGCCCTTGGTGTGTGAGTTACGCTGCGTACTTGGATGGATGGTCCGGAGGCCTGGATCGACTGGAGGGCAAGAGGGGCTCGAGGGAGCTGGGAGGAGGAGGAAGAGGAGCCCAAGGCGGGGCTGTCGCTGGGCACTTCTGTGAATCTTCAAGCCCCATCGTGCCGCTCACCCAGCGCCCCGAAGGACCGAGGGCGGCCTCCTTCGGAGTGGAGCTCCCGCCTGCATTGAAGGCCCATGGGGCGATCGTCTCTCAAGGGGGCTGCCTCCCTCGGTGAGAGAGGGTGCCTGTGGGGACTGATGAGGAGGCGACCTGCGACGGGACGGTGTGTTGCAGCATCGTTGATTCGCATTGGGTGTACTCTGGTCCTCCTCACCCTCCTCGACCTCATCACCACCACCACCACCATCATCATCCTCATTATCCTCATTATCCTCATCCTCCTGCTCCTGACCTTCCTCCTCATCATCATCCTACTCCTCAGTATCATCAGCATCATCAGCATCATCAGCATCATCATCACCATCATCATCATGATCATCATCAGCAGCATCAACATCATCAGCATCAGTATCATTACCATCATCATCACCATCACCATCACCATCATTATCATGATCAGTATCATTACTTTCATCATCAACAGCAGCAGCAGCCCCATCATCATCATCAGCATCATCAGCAACAGCATCAGCATCATCATCATCAGCATCATAATCATCATCGTCATCATCATCATCATCACCATCACCATCACCCTGCTCCTCCGCGCCCTGCTCCTCCTCCTCCTCCTCCTCGCCCTGCCCCTCCTCCTCCTCATCATCCTCCTCATCCTTCTCTCTCTCTCTCTCGCTACCCTTCCCGAGCCGGGGCTCCTCGCTGCTGCTATCCTCCATGGCGGCCCACTCGTTCGCGGAGCCCTGGACCTTCACCTCGTCGGTGCTTGGCGTGACAGCGAACTTCCGTCTCCTGATGGCCCCTTCTCCTCCTCCTCATCAGCCTTCTCCTTCTAACCCTCATCCGCCATTCCTTCGCCTTATGAATAATTTCTCCACCAGTTTGTAGGGCGGTCCGGGCGTTTCGCCTGAGACTTCCTCACCAGCTATGACCCTGAAGCTTGAAAATTGACAACAGCTTCGCAGATGGAGGGCGGGTCGTTTTTGAAATGTGGCTCTCGCCTGCGCGCCGCGCACGTTTGTTCTTAAACATTTGCAAGAGTTTCACGGATTGAAGGCGGTTCCTTTTCAAAATGTGGCTCTCGACTAAGCGCCTCGCACATTCCTTGCAAAACTGTAGAAAAGTTTCACGGATTGAGGTCGGCTCCTTTTCAAAATGTGGCTCTCGCCTGAGCGCCGCGCACATTCGTTTTCAAAATTGCAAGCATTTCACGGATTCCCATGATCAGCGTACTAGAAATGAGATGTTGGAAAGATTCAGGAACTTGAGGGTGCAAGAGTTACGTTGCTTCGCGGTATTGAAGTCCCAGGAATGGAATTCTGGCACGACTCAGGATCGCCAAGACGCCACCGTCAGGTTGATCCGTGACGCTGAAATCCAGAAAACGAAATTTTGGCATGCATCAGGGTCTTCAAACGGCTGTCTTCCAACGAAGCAATTCCCTCCGTCGAATTGAACCTTTGTAGGGGCCTGTGAAAAGGGAGCCTGGAGGGAGGGTATATTCCAACATCGTTAATGACTCTTGGGTTTAAACTGGTCCTCCTCGTCCTCCTCCTCCTTCTCCTCCTCCTCCTCCTTCTCCCCCTCCTCCTCCTCCTCCTCCTCCTCCTCCTCCTCCTCCTCCTCCTCACCCTCCTCCTCCGCCTTCTCCCTATCCAGGTTCGAGAATCGAAATGTTTGCATGTTGTTGGCCAGTATGTGAGGCCTCGACACTGCGAGGGGCATCGGCCCCGGAGTCCACCCGAAGCCAGCCCCGTACACATCCCCCCTCCTTCCACGCATCCCACTGCTCCTTCTCGTCATCCTCCTCATCCCCCCTCTTCCCCCCCCTCCTCTTCGCTGCAAACATCGAAAGCTTACGAAAAACAAGTCATCTTCTTCTACTCCCCCATCTGACGATGTGTATACGTATACCTATGCCTGACTCCTGCGAAGGCCTCACCATCCTCTTAGTTATCGCCACCACCACCACTACCGTCATCGTCATCGTCATCATCCTCATCTTTATCAGCATCAGCAGCAGCATCAGCATCAGCATCAACATCAGCATCATCATCGTCATCATCATCACCAGCATCGTCACCATCATCATCAGCAGCAGCATCATCAGCATCAGCAGCATCACCATCATCAAGTTGTACCTCCTCTTTAATCAGAGTGCCCGAAACCATACGAAAATCTGCTCGTCCTCCTCTCCCTCTCTCTCGTCCTCCCCTGTCCTCGTATGATTGCATAAAAATATGCGTGGTACTATTTTTCATACTTCTTCCTACCCTGTTCCTCCCAAAAAGTATGGTATTATCCTCTGACGTCTTTGCAAATAAGACCTCAGCATAGCAGATCAAAGAAATGCAGTTTGCAACAACGAGCCCGCAATCCTATGATACTGTATGAGAGAATACGGGGAAAGCTGATCCTCGTCATCCTCCCCCTACTTCTCATCCTCCGCCTTCGCCTCCTCATCTTCCTCCGCATCCTGCCCCTCCTAACCTCTAGAAGTACCCGAGATCCTGAGAAAACCTCCTCTGCCTCCACCTACTGCATCGGCGCAGCTGCAGTTTCGAATGGATTCGGTGACTTCCCAAGGTCCCTAACAGCTCCAGGAAGGAGGAGAGGGGGTAGGGACAAGCGAGGTGCGCTCGCGCCATACCTCACAGCCTACCCCTCCTACCAATCCCTGCCATTGCGCCGCATTGTGTCCTCCCTCCTCCGCCCTCCCTCCTCCGCCCTCCTCCTCCTCCTCCTCCTCCTCCTCCTCCTCCTCCTCATCCTCATCATCATCATCATCATCCTCATCCTCATCCTCCTCATCCTCCTCATCCTCCTCATCCTCCTCATCCTCCTCATCCTCCTCGTCACCACTAACTTTCACTGGGCGGTGCGACTCGGTCGCAGCTCCGCCGGCTCCGCCGCCGCTGTTCTGATGCCACGTGCGCCCTGCTCGTGGTGACGACCTGTGATGGTTTCTGCCGCCGCGTGGATCGTTCAACCTCGAACGATCGCGGCTCCCCGACAGCGCAGATCGCTTGATATCGGCCGACTCCGCGCTGGCGGCGTTCACCCTTGGGCGCTCGCGCTGGGGTCGCCGCCGCGTCGACTCGGCGCGAACCCGCCATAGCAGGTCCCCCCGCGTCTTCCGTGGTGTCCGAAGGCCCGAGCATGGCCCGCAACCACCGTATCCTCGAGCTTCGATCGTTCTCCTGGGCGGTCGGCGGCGATGGTGCCGATCCGCCGACGCCTTGGCACCCTGCAGCACACAGAGGCAGCCCCTCATCCTGGGAGCAGCATCTCTCACAACTCCGCCGAGCTGCAAGACTTCCGAGCCCTGCGGCAGGCGGAAGGTGTCCCCCCCCGGGAGAGGGAGAAGAGGAGGGAGAAGAAGAATAGGAAGACAATGAAGGGTCCATGGCCGAGATCTTTGAAATACTTGCAGCTCACGTTTGCACTCGTGTGGCCTCAGGGCGCCGACCTCGGGGAACCTCCGAAGACCCGTGCGACTCCTCACCTGCACGGCGCCATGCGGGAACTGCTCCATTAGGAACGAAGCAGTCCTCATCCTCATCTCCCTTTTCCTCCCCCTCCTCCCCATGCTCCTCATCATCATCATCATCATCATCATCATCATCATCATCATCATCCTCTGTATCCTCATCCTCTTCATCATCCTGTTCCTCCTCCTCCTCTTCCTCCCCCTCCTCCTTCTCCGATACTTCCTCCTTAGAGCTTGGAGGAGTGACTGAAACACATGCAACGAACGAAGAGAGAAGAGGCGGAACTAAGTACACGAGCCGATGAACCGACCGAAAAAGTTCGGCAGGCATCCGCGCAAATGTCGAAGATGGTGCTCGCGAAAGACAAAAGCCAAACGCGCGTCCAACGAGGGAAACCTGGCACGCCGTCCTCATCGCTTCGGCGCAAGAGGCCCGATCCTCCGCAGGTGTGGCTTGCCGTCGTCGTCACTGGATGAACTTGACCCCGTAGCCAGGACGGCTTGCCCGGCGGCTTGCCGCGCCTGGCAGGGCAGCGGGCCGTGCGCAGCGGCGAGCGTGGCGCTCCCACAAGGAAGCGAGGCGCCGCAGATCCAACGATGCAGAAATCCAGGAGTGCGGGCAGGGTGCACGGCAAAGGCGCGAACCACGTGCAGCAATCGAGAACAGTTCGAAGCAGCACACTCTGCCGACGTACACGCCGAATCCTACACGCACCAATGGACACCATCGGGATGGCTGCCGTCGCTGACATGTGGCTCCCGCCTGGCCCCGTCATCCAATACACCCTTCACCCGATATTTGGAAGAGCGCTTCCTGCAGCTGCTGGCAGATCGAGGGGGGGGTGGGGTGGGGGGGCAAAACCTCCCTCACCCTGAAAGAAAGGAAGAAGGGTAGGTCTGGTACCCCCACCTCTCCCCTCCCCCCCCGGGAAAATTATTCGGAAGGTCCACAGCCCCCCCCCCAGGAAAGCAATTCGATGAGTCCCCCCTCGCAACGACGACGACGACGACGACGACGACGACGACAACAAGGATGACGACAATAACGACGACGAGGACGACGACGACGACGACGACGACGACGACGGCGGCGACGACGGACGACGACGACGACGCCGCCGACGCCGACGCCGACGCCGCCGCCGCCGCCAACGACGACGGCGATGACGACGACGACGACGATGGCCACGACGACGACGACAACGAAAACGGCCAACGAAGACGACGACGACGGCGACGACGACGACGACGCCTACGACGACGCCGACGACGACGATCGAGCCCTAGTGGGATGCGATCAGCTGGATCGAACCCGAATACGAGTCTATTTGAAGCTGGATCGAACCCCAATACAGCTCTACTACAACTGTATCCAGCACCAGTAAGTTTTTTTGGGGGGTGGATCCAGCCCTAAAAAGACTCCAGGAGTGCTGGGTCCAACTCTACAAAGTTTTTGCAGTAATGCTGGACCGAGCTGTAATGCAATCCCACCAGCCCTCTGGGCGCAGGTGGTCTAACGGTGAGTTCCTTCCCTCTAAACCCCTCTTCCCCTTGGGTTTACCCCTCCCCCTACCCCCTCCCCTGGACCTGGACGGGAGGGACCGCAAGGGGTTTAGAGCGTCCAAGATCGGCCCCTGGGAGGGCCATTTTTTGACACCCCATCACGAGGATCGTGGCCCCCGCGGGGGGGGGCCTCGATTGGGACCGTCCCCCCTTTGATCGATAGCCTCGAAGATGGCCCCAAGAAACGCTCAAGGGCTCCCAAGAGAGCCCCAAGAGGGCTCCGAGAGGGTCCCAAGAGGGCCCCAAGAAGCACCCGAGAGGCCCCCAAGAGGCCCCCGAGCGGCTTCCGAGAGCCCAAGATGACCTCCAAGATGGCTCAGATAGCTCAAGCTGGCTCAAGATGGCTCCCAAGATGCTCCAAACGGTCCCAAGACCGCCCGCTCCAAGAGCGCCCAAGAGCGGTCCAAGAGAGCCACAAGAAGCGTTTTGCCGGCCCGGCTCCTGAAGGGGGAAGCTGAGTTGGGCCCCCCCCATCCTGTAATCGATGGCCTCCAAGATGATCCAAAGAAGCCTTCCAGGGTTACCAAGAGGGCTCCCCAAAAACTCCCCGAGAGCACCAGCACCAGCAGCAGCCACAAGAACGCCTCGCGGCACCCAGGGATGGCCCGAAGGGGCCTTCCAAGGCCACCCCCTTGCTCGAATTGTTCCCTAGATGAGTATCTTCGCACCTTTCCCTGTCAGATCTGAAGGGCACGGTTTCTGAATGGGCCGGTGGGGATACTTGTTGATCCGCGGGCGCGCGAAGACGAGTCGAACGCCGAGCACGCCCGGGCGGGCCGCGCTCCGTAGCCCAAGGAAAAACAGCGAGGCGAGCGGCACCCGGGGGGCGGAAGGGAAGCACGGCAGCACGGCCCGGGCCGAAGACGGAGAGCACGAAGACCTAGGGCGGAGCCACCCTTGCCGAATGAGAAGAACTTGAAGCCGCCCCAGAGCACCAGGCGAGCGGTGGACGCAGCCAAACAGGCGCCAGAGCCGGAACGCGGCGGAAGAGGCGGCACACCTCGCCGAACGGGTAAAATTTCACCGCGCGCGCGCATAAGAGCGGAGACGCGGCCAACTGGCGCGGGAGAAAGCCCCTCGGCGGCCAGGGCGCGCGGGTAGCCACGCAACCATGGGCGCCCCAAGCCTGCGAAGGTCGGAGAAGACGCGGGCGACGCAACCTAGGGGTAGACAGGAACGAAGCGGTCGCACATGTAGGACCGCAGGCCACACCTGACCAGCGTCAGCAGGTCATCCGAAAAGGCGCGAGCGGCGCACGCCCGAGGGTGGGAGACAGGGGCGAACTTCGTCGCACAGGTAGGACAACAGGTCAGACGTCACGACCAGCGCAGCGCGCCCCGCGCGCACGAAACTGGAAACTGCAGGTGACCGGCACGAGAGAACCGCGCAAGCGAGCGCCGCCCATCCGGTTGCCCGCGGGCGGAGCGGCGGGCGGCCAGGCGGAGGCCGCCGCCCGAACGCGCATGCCAGGGAGACCGCGACGCCTTGGGCGACGGGGGCCACTGGCAGGGATGGGGCACGTTCGTCCGAGCCCAACAGACACGAGCCCCTGCGGCCATCAGGTGGAGGGGCGGACGGAAGCGAAGCCCAAGGGGAGCTGGCGCCGCACCAGCCGGACCAGATCCACAGGAAGTCCATATGAGGCAGCTGATCGCTGCTAGCACTCGGAAAGCCTCGGCAGAAGCACAACCAAGGTGAGCAAGAAGCCAATCACTTCGACGGGCAGCTGATCGCCGCAAGCACTCAGAAAGCCTCGGCAGAGGAATACCAGAGGGTGATCAGAAGCTAATCAATTCGACGGAATGGATGGCCTCGGCAGATGTATAACCAAGGTAGAGCTGGCAGCTGATCGCTGAAGGAGCACAGTGGACCTCGGCAGAGGCACACCCAAAGCGAAGCCCCGTCGCAGCGGGCCAACGCGGGCGAAGCGGCGGCAGGAGGACCCCAGGGAGGAGGGGAAAGGGGAAGGGAAGGCAACTGATCGCTGCAAGCTGTAAGCACTAAGAGTAGAAGCCCGGGGTGTGAAGAGGAAGGCGCGGTGGGAAAAATGGAAGGTGGCTACAAACGGCGTCTCTTGTCGGTAGCAGGTTCGCCCCAGCCGTGGCTGGGGTTGCCCTGCATGCCACCACGCACCACGGAGGCATCGCGGTCTAGCCCTTTGCCTGGGCGCCCGGCGCTGCTCCAGTCGCCGGTCGCCCGGCCCTGGCGCGCGCGGTCGAGATCGGCGTAAAGTCCGCGCTGGTGGCTGAGAGGATGGGCGCCGTAGCCGTTCTGTCGCCAGGCAGCCAGGAATTCGCCACAGGCGGCCTGAGACTGACGGCGTGGAACCTTTGGGGCGAGACCAGGACGAGTTGCTTTGCACTCGGTCCAACTGCGCCAGACCCTGTCGAATGCGGCACCGAGCTCGGATTGCACCCTTTCGATGAAGTCAGGGCTGCTTTCGGCCGCACCTTGCGCCTCCACCAGGTCTGTGGGCGCCCCATACATCCGGTTGCCGCCACGGGTACGGCGGTCGGTTGGCGCGAGGGGCTTGGCGGCCGCATCGCGCCAGACTCCTCGTACCCACATGCCAGCAGCTTGGCTGCTACGGACCGCGTGCGCTGCGTGGCCACGCCCCTGGGGCCCATATTCCCACGGCTTGTAGCTTGACCTGCTGGATCCGCACGCGCGCCCATCATCATGGGCGCCCCAGCTGGAGCCATGCCTGGTCCACCTGCTGCCGTTGGGACTCCGCGCGCGATCAGGGTGCCGCGCGGCCTGGTCGCAGGAGCCCCACGATTGGTCGCGCCCCCTTTCCGTGTCCCCCTGCGCGCGGCCAAGGTCCCCAGTGCTGGGTCGCTGCTGCCAGTTGTTTCCCCCAGGAGCCAGGGGCTGCTAGCGGCATCCGTGCGTCAGCGTTGTCGCGGTCGCCCGCGGCGGGCGCGGCGGCGCGGAGGGTCACGGCGCGGGAAGGGGACTTTGAGCTGGCCTCCTCATCGGTAGATGAGGGAGCGGGGTCGTCGTCTGCTTGGGGTTCCGGACTCGCGCGCGGTGCCTGCTGTCTCTGGCCCCCGAGCCCCGCCCGGGCCTGGGTCTGGAGCCCGGCCAGACGCTCCGTCTTCCCCCGGGGGCCGAGAGGATGGAAGTCCCCCTTGGTCGCCAGTCGATGTGTCCGTGGTCTCCCCCTCTTCTGCCCCGGCCTGCGCGCTGGGTGGAGGGCGGGCAGCCCGCGCGGGCGCGGCCGGGCCGGTCGACGCTGCATGCGGGTCCGCGTCGTTTCCGCCTGTCTCCCCGTCCGACAGGACATCGACCGTTAGCAAGTCGGGCTCGAGGCTTGCAAGCCAGTCGACGGGGGCGCCAATGCTGCGGGGGGCGGGGTCGGCGCCCTTGAGCGAAGCGCTCCTCTGAGCATAGAGCCTCCAAGCGCGCCCGATCAAGGCCTCCTGGGCAAAGCGACGCACGGGGCAAACGGCCGCCCATCTCTTGCCATCCCAAGCGATGCCAGGCGGGGCTCCGTCGTCGGCGAGCGTGCTGCCGCAAAGCGAACGGATGTAGGCGCGGGCCAATTTGCGCCCCCAGGCGCAGTCACTCCAATCGTCCGGTTCGGGGCCCTGCTGGGAGGCGAGGGCGACCCAGGCGTCGTCGCAGGCCGGGTCCAGACAGCGGACGTGCCATGCCAGTGCCAGGAGAGAGGCCGTTTCCGCCCCCCGCTGGTCGTCCGCCGCTGCGAGATAGGTCTCGACATCACGGCGACTCACGGGGGGGCGCGCGGGCGGGGGGAGACGCGGCAGGATGCTGAGGATGTGCTTGCACCGACTGGTGTCTAAACGGTAGGGGCGACGAAACCCGGGCGGTGTCACGTCGCCCTGCCCTGCCACAGCCCGCGGGTGGCCGAGCTCGCCCCGCAGGCCGTCGTCGGCGGTGGGTCTGGGTTCGGGGGGCCTCTTCGTTGGTGAGGAAGGGCACATGCGGACAAAGTCCCTGTCCAGAATGACCTCGAAGACGCTGGGCGCGATGTCCAAGATGCGCACCAGGCAGACGCGGCAGTGCCCGGAAGCGTTCCAGGAGGCGCCGAACAGCACTCCACCCAGCGGCCCCACTCGGGGAGGCCGCATCGGTCATCGCACCCCAGGCCGGAGCTGGGCCTCCAAACAAAGCAGCCGGGCGCGGGATGGCCTGGTCCCAACATGAACTTGACCGGCCCCCCGCTGCAGCTGTCGCAGATGGCGGAAAAATGCCCGCAGTGTCGAACCGGTCGTCAATGGGACGGCACTTCGGAATAATGCTGCCGATCTGCCCTGGGTCGTCGCTGCCGGCGGCTTCAGGAGCAGCTGAGACAGCGCGTAGTCGTCGCTGGGGTTGGGCACCTGGGCACGAAACGTCGGCATCCATAGAGATGTCGGGGAACTGTTACTGACCTTGACCTCGTGCTCAGTACTGCGGTCCTTCTGGTATGCGGCTAACTGATACGCCATGTTCTTCCCCAGGGGCACCTCGATGCCGCTCTCCTCCAGGTGGCGTTGCAAGCAACGCAGACAAAGCCAGCGGCAATTGAGACCGCTGTTGTGGACGAATTCCCGATTCCGCGTTTCCTGCGGTAATTGCGGGAGGAAAAATGGACGGGAGAAGGAGGAGGGAGAAGAGGAGGGGGTGGAGGAAGGAAGAGGGAGGAGGGAGGAGGGAGGAGGGAGGAAGGAGGAGGGAGGAGAAAGGAGGAGGAGGAGGAGGACGACGACGACGGCGAGGCTGAAGAGGAGGAGGAGAAAAGGGCGCCAGGCCAGCGTAAAACGGGAGGAAGTCTCGGGCGGGACCGCTGGTTTTGTCGGGGCGGGGGCTGTCGGCGGCGAGCAAGAGCACCGCCTTGAGTAAAAAAGGGAGGAACTCTCGAGCGGGAGCGTTGTTGTTGCTGGGGGCGGCGCCGATAAGAGAAAGAGTAGCGCGCCTGTCAAAGGTAAAACGGGAGGAAGTCTCGAGCGGGAGCGCTGGTTTTGTTGAGACGGCTGCTTTCGGCGGCGAGCAACAGCACCGGCCCTGAGTAAAAAAGGAAGAAGTCTCGAGCAGGAGCGTTGTTGTTGTTGGGGGTCCAGTTTTGGCGGTCCCCCAAACCGCTTGAGAGTGAGCCCCATTTTCAATGAAAATGCAGCCGGCGCCTCGGCGAGAGCGCCAGGGCATCTGTATGGGGTCCAACCATAAGAAATGCTTGGAATTAGCATAACCACAACAACAACAACAACAACAACGACAACGACAACGACAACGACAACGACAACGACAACGACAACGACAACGACAACGACAACGACAACGACAACAACAACAACAACAACAACAACAACAACAACGACAACGACAACGACGACGACGACGACGACGACGACGACGACAACGACAAACTACTACTACTACTACTACTACTATACTACTTAATACTACTACCACGACGATACTACTACTACTACTACTACTACTACTATACTATTACTACTACTACGACTACGACTACTACTACTACTACTACTACTACTACTACTACTAAAAAAAAAAATACACTACTCCTCCTACTACTGATACGACTACATACTGCTAGCGATTCCTACTACGACACACTTACTACTACTACTACTACTACGGACTACTACTACCGACTACTACTTTACTTCGTACTACTACTACTATACTACTACTACTTACTACTACTACTACTGCGGACTACTTTGACTTACTACTAACTCTACTTACTACTACCTATTACTAATACTACTACTACTGCCTGCGCTGCTGCTGCTGCTGCGGCTGGCTGCTTGCGACTACTACTACTACTACTACTACTTACTAATACTACTTAGTACTACTACGACGACTACGACTACGACTTACGACTACACTTACGATGACGACTACGGACTACGACTACGACTACGAATACTACTACTACTATACTTACTACTTACTACGACGACGACGACAACGACAACGCCAACGACAACCGGCAACGGACAACGACAACGACACGACAAAGACAACGACAAAACGCCAAACACCAACGACCACACCAACAACAACAACAAGAACAAACAACAAGAACCAACAACAAGCGGCGACGCGAACGACGACGACTACTACAACAACAACAACAACAACAACAACAACAACAACAATCACTTTACCCGAACGCTCAGTGTTCTCACCAGTGCCAGGGTTTTCATGCGACGCCACCCAATACCCCCACTTTGTGGGGGGGTAGTGCAAGCTCTACCAAATATCCACACGACTCTTCGCCACCACCCACACCCAGCTTCCCGCCCTATGACGTTCGGACACTTCACTTCGTGGCCTGCGGACGACCGTGGCTACTACACTGGCGTGGAGTACACACCCACAGAAGTTGTTAGGACAGCGCGCGCGGGTGGAAATTTTGAAAAGTCGTGCAGCTGTTTTTCGAGGACCTACGGTGCGATTCGTGTGATTTTATGATGCGCGGTGGTAAAATTCTTAAGAACCCAATGGTGTTTGGAGATTTCGGCGTGCGCGCGCGAAGAAAAAACGAATCTGTCCCGCATGGTATTATTTGACAGGGATGATGGCCCTGGCAGGTGCGCAACCGTTGTCGCAGAAGTTCGAATAAAGTTGCTCGCAAAAGCCCGTTTGACAGAAATGTTGAAAAAGAGTTGGGTTTCCTACGAATCCGCAAGAGCGCGCGGGATGTGATTTTGACATTTTTTTTGTTGAAAAACCATTGGTTTTTTGATGTTTTTATGTTGAAATCGTTCCGAACACTAAGCTTTTGGAAGGATTTCGTCTTGCGCGCGCGAATGTCCACTTTACCTTATTTTTTGCAAGGGATTCTTGAAATTTGATTATATTAGAACACGAAATGTCATTTTATAGTGTTTTTTGCAAGGGAAAGCGGGGGGGAACAAAACAACCGGATCTTGATCACATCGAATTACCTGAGGCTTCCTCACGAAAATGATGAAAATGTAGCTGCGGCCTAGGCGGCGCAGGGGGGCCGTGCACCAGGGGTCCCAACAATAATTATTCTTTAGAATTCATAATGTTCAACAACAACAACAACAACAACAACAACAACAACAACAACAACAACAACAACAACAACAACAACAACAACGATGACGATGACGATGACGACGACGACGACGACGACGATGATGACGACGAGGACGGCGATGACGACGACGACGCCGCCGCAAACACCGACGCCGACGACGACGACAACGACGACAACGACGGCTACGACGACGACGACCACAACGACGACGACGACGACGACGACGACGACGACGGCGAAGACGACGACGACGACGACGACGACGACTGCTGCGACGACGACGACGACGACGACGACGACGACGAAGACGGCGACGGCGACGGCGACGACGACGACGACGACGACCACGACAAGCCGCCGCGCGCGAGCGAAAGGAGCGCGCGCCGTCCTGGGGGCGCCTGGCGGCCCCGAGGTCCTCGACCTTCCCCGTGGAGGTCGCCAGCCGCAGCTGCCTGGCCCGTCCTCCTCCTCCTCCTCCTCCTCCTCCTCCTCCTCCTCCTCCTCCTCCTCCTCCTCCTCCTCCTCCTCCGCCCAGGCATCCTGCCATTGTGGCTGTACGGCCGGACCAGGGACAGAAGACCATCCTTCAAGAGCTTGAGACCCTCCGCCGGCCCAAACAGAAGAATATTCGAGGGCACCCTCCCCGAGGATGCACAAACAGGCAAGAACACTAAGGCACCCTCCCCGAACCGACCTCGATCTTGTAACTCGGTCCGACCGTATGTTCTTTGGTGATGGACGTCGTGGAGGACCCAGACCCCCTCCGCTTGTGAAGAAATCACGGCGGCAGGTTGTCAACCATGGTCGGACTCTGGGGTCCCTCATCTGGCCGCGGGCCCGTGAAAGACAGCTCGGGATAAGAGAACGGTCCCCTGATAGAGGTCCAGACCTCCCGGGGGTCCACGTTGTGGAAAAAAGCACGGCCTCGAAGGCCTGAGGAGTCTGGGTAGGAGGGCGCCACTATGACGTATACAATGGAAGCAGGGCCACAACCACGCGGTTCAAAAACATGAGCTTTTTCGCCGAAGGCCCAGGGCTGCGTGGAGATGCCCCAAGCGAAGAGCATTACAAGGTGGAGAGCCCAATCACGAAGGACACAAGGGCAACCCCCAAAGCAAGGGCTGATCTGAACCATCGCGTCGGCTGCACATCGACCTTGGCCAAGGAGGCAAATACACCGGCTCTGGGTTCAGGATGGGCGTGGCCAGGGCCTGTGTGCATGTAGAAGTCTCGCCGCCCCCACTCCAGGAGCGAGACTGGCCGCGCGGGGGGGGGGGGTCGCTCAGGAGTCGGGAGGGGGGGGGTCCAGCACCAGCCCCCCACATAAACCCCCGCGGAGTGCTTGCAGGTGGGGGACCCTCCTTGTCTTCTTGCAGAGATTCGCCCGGTGGCCGCCCGTAGGGCGCCTGCTGGGCGACTCGTGGGCGCCTCGCGGGCGCCTCCTGGGCGCCTCGCGCGGTGGCGCGCCGTGCCGCGTCGTCGCCCGGTGGCCCCGTGGCCGCTCGGGGCCGCGTGCTGGGCCGGGCTTGGGCCCTGCAGGTCTTCGCCCGGTGGCCGCCCGCGGCCGCCTCGCGGGCGCTTCGCGCTGCGCGGGCGCCTCCCATGGGCGGCTCGTACGCCGGCTGCACCGCTTAGCTTCCGCCACACTACCTCACGGCATAGCACTCACCGCCCAGCCGGCCTAGCACATAGACACTCGTGCCCAGCCGACCTGGCCGACCTAGCTCATGCTACTTCACGACATAGCACTCACGGCTGCTGGGGGGGAGGGGGGTGTACCCCACACTGCACTGCACCACATCAGTGGCACCAAACAGCTTCCACCCAGTGGCTCGCACCACACGCACTGCGCCACATGGGTTGCACCAGATATAGATTGCACCACGCAGCTTCCACACCCTGCCTGGACTGCACCACACGAAAAACACCACACTTCTTCCACCACATAGACTGCACATCAAGAACGTACAAACTCACGGTTTGGCGTCTGCGCTGGATAACCTGCAATGTTTGGCCCTCGTGGATCACCACACGGGGCGCAACTCCTCCGCGAGGGTCAGCATGTCACAGCGGTGGTGGGTCAACACCCACAGCGGCCAGAGACAGAGGGCACCCCAACGAGGAAAGAGGAAAGCCCAACAAAGCTGAACTGCCGGGCTTTCCCCGATCGAACCCCCAACTAGTCGTCACTGCCTCCACTCCAGACGGGCTAGGAAAAGGACGAAAAGGATCGAGAAGGATCGAAGAGGATCAAGGAGGCGCGAGAAGGATCGAAGATCGAGGAGGATCGAGGAGGATCGAGGAGGACCGAGCATCGAAGTTTGCGGAAGCCGTCGGACTTTGCGCGGGCCCCCAGAGGCCTCCAGAAACAACCTGAGACCTCAGCACACCTCCAGGGAAACAGCATTTTTATCCGCGGGTCGAGAGCGCACCTCTTCCGGTCGAAGCTAAGCGGGCCGCGCGAAGCTTGAATTAATCAGAGATGGGGGAGGAAAACCTCCAGGGAAACAGCAGGAGGAAGAGAAGGAGGAGGAGTCGAGAATCGACGCTGTGAGGCGTTCCTCGGCTTCCTTCTCCGGCTCCAGCTTCTGGCCGGCACGCGCTGCGCGAGGAGCGAAAAGGGGGCCTCCTCCTGGCCGCCGCGGGCCCCGCCCACGAATAGGCTCCCGGCCTCTGGCGAGGGCCTTGGGCAGGCAACCGTTTTGGGCAGGGAGCCCACGGGAACAAAAAGCAAAAAGAGCGCAAAGG